TGACTAAGTGGCTACTATAAAAGACTGGACATACCCCACTTGCAATACCTTGGGTTGTCTACTATTGCAAATGGTATGCCATCATGGCAGTAATTCTCATTCCTGGGCTACCACACAGTCTCAAAGGCAACAATACCAACCTGGTGAATTTCAATTTGAAAAAACTGAAAAATGGAATGTGCTATATTTGACCCTTTAACTTTCCAAAACACTGTAAAAACTGTTAATGGGGGGTACTGTTGTACTCGTGAAACTTTGCTGAATCCAAACATATGACATTTACAGCTAAAATGTCTACAATTTTTTTTCAAAATCTTAATTTCCCACAGTTTTTTAAATTTAATTCTTAATAAATGATGTTTCAAATATGAATAGTTAATGAACAAAATTATATATAATAAGTGTGAACAGACATATAGCGCAAATACCAGTTTTTCTTTACATTTTGTTTTGATCAGAACATGTAATATTGACTCCGTCCTGAAGGGGTTAAGTATAAATTGTTATTAGTAAGTCACAGCTCCTCCTCACCACACCATCATGCACAACCCTACAATTAAAGTGTCCCACTTTGTAAATTTGGAATGTTGAGAGGCATGTAACTGCATCATCTCACTAAAGTGGTTATAGTGTCTGGAGTCCCCTAACACAAGCCTTCCATTCAGCATTAAATCATTTTTAATATTTTAACGATAAACAAGAGTTCCCAGCAACACAACCCCAATGTGCTTTTTGGGCTAATAAGGAAGCATTAGCTTGGGCAGCAACGGGTAGCTGTGATTGACAAAGAGTGCTCGTGTTTAGCCTATCACAGCACCCAGTGCATGGTATGAATTTGTATGGCTAGAATCAAGTGTAATCTTTGCCTTACATCTAGTGGACGTTGGGCTGTGGGTGGACAGGGACCCTAATTTATTGTTAAACTCCTCAAAAAATGATTAAACACTGAATGGAGGGACAGTACCAGGAGATTCCAGGTACTAGATCCAATTCAATGAGATGACATTATTATAGTGTTTAGGGTGTCCCTTAAGCTTGCTGTAGTGGTTATGATTCCTGTGGTACCCTGGTCTTGTTTACCAGAAATAAGGCAAACCGTTGTGCAAACGTGATGTCTGCAGGGCTCAGACTGTTCTCTTGTGGTCAGCAATGACAGCCAGTTTCTGCAGAGCTGCAGAAGCCGATAACGTCGGCCATTAATCGACTGAGAGCATCAGCTGACTGCTCAATGCCTATTAACACAAAAGGAATATCCGCTGCAAAGACGCTGCCTTAGGTAGAGTTACACTAAGTGTTAAAGCTCAATATGTGCTGCATTGCAAAGCAAAATGCAGCACACAAAGACTCCAGGCACCATGACCCCTTCAAATGACTAAAATGGTCATGGTGTTTGGAGTAACCCTTTAAAAAGGCGTACATACACTTCAATTACACGTTACCATTAACTCCAGCTGTTTTTTCATAGAATAATGCAGACACTCCATGGCCTTAACATTGGTGGTAGATTTGATATTTTCTAGAAGGTTATTCCATATTTGTGGAGCTCTGTAGGGGCCCTCTAATGCCAGGTGGCTCTGTTACTATTCTTGGTGACATTTCCCATTTCAAAATGCCCTATATAAATATCCTTGAATATCCTCCTCAGCTGCTCATTTCTGTCCAGTTCCCCTCTCATCCTGCCACCCGGTGGCCGTTTACAGTACTGCACCATATTTCAGTACTAATACTAAAAAAAAAATGCTTACAGACTTGTTATTATAATTATTGGTCTTTTTTTTTAATGTTCAGCGTGCTCATCATATTACAATGTTTGTATGGCTTATCATTATTTATAAAGGCTAAAATAGTGTGTGAATTAGAATAGTATCGTGGTGATGAAAAATATGTTTGTGCTTCAGTACACTGTCCTTATAATGGCTTTAATTGTAGGCTATTATGTGATGCACTCTATCATCATTAACTGATGCTAAAGGCTTGTTGCCTTATAAATTAATGGACTTTTCCAAGGAATTGTAAACTTTAGGATGAAATAGTCAAACTGGAAATTTTTCTCCCAGGAAGTTATATTTCCAGCTATTTGGTGTTAAATGTGCAATCCCTTGGTTATTTCACACCAAATCAAGTGTTAGTTAATAACCCTCCCTGACTATGAATACAGAATGTTAGACAAATCTTGCTCTAGATGTTTCACTCCAAATTAAATTGCCCCCCCCCTGACTGCAGCTTAACAGCTCTTTTATATTCTGCAGGGATGTCTGACGCTGCCATCATGGAACTTAATCTCCCCACTGGAATCCCTATTGTGTACGAGCTGGATGACAACCTGAAGCCAACTAAGCCCATGGCTTTCCTGGGAGATGAAGAGACAGTGAAAAAAGCAATGGAAGCTGTGGCTGCCCAGGGCAAAGCCAAGAAATAGGCTGATTTTGATCTGTAGCAATAACACAGGTTGATGGACACATGGGCAGAAACAAGGCCATGCAAAGAGATTGAAACCTGGATTAAAGGGAAAATCTGGTCACATTGCATTGGGAGGGTATACATATATATGGACAGGGAAGTGTGCGCAAGGGAACAAGGTGGCACATTGTATAAAGACAAAACTATATAAGGGATTGTGGGGTCACAGAGAAAGAACAAACACAGAAACAATTAAAACGTCACTTTCCTTATAATTCCTAGAACAGGCAGTTTCTGTGTGTGATGGAAAGCTCAGTCTCACACACTGTTAACATAAGCTCCTGACCTAATTATTACACATGGGGCTGTCAAAAATAAAATAAAACTCTGGTTAATTCACAACAATTTGGAGACAAGAAAAATGTGGGAAGGTAAATTCTCTAATTTGATCACGCACAGGAATCTACCAGGACACATCCTAAAACTGGATCCTACCTTCATTGTACTCTAAAGTTTCCTAAATCATTAGATATATTACTTGTTAGTAATTAAACACACCTTGTGTAGCAATGAACGTGATTCCATGCACAACAGTATGTCTCCCTACTTTGGTTCTTATGGTTTTAGTTTTCTGTGATTCTTAAAAACATCACACAATCTTTTACTGTCCCCATACACACACACACACATATTCTGTCCTAGTGATAACACACATTCTTCCCTGGTAATTTATACAAACATTTATCCTTTTGACACAGTGCATATGTGTTAGTGTTACATCCCCCAAAATATCTTATTAGGTCAACACAAATATTCTGCTCTAGTGAGTTACACACATTCTGTCCAATGAATTGTGCCATATATTCATATATTGTTAGAGTTTTGACAAACAAATCATCTATACTAGTGATTACAAATTGCCCTAGCGACCAAACACATGTTCTGCCCTAGTGATCCACACACAATGTTCTATTAAGCATAGTCTTAGTGGTCACATATATAATCTTAGTGGTCATGTTTTAGTGATTTGAGATAATCCTAATGATCACAGACTGTACTGGTGATGTATCAATTTAATTATGTTCTAGAATAATATATTTTGATTCTATTTCTCTCATTAAACCTTACATCATGTATTTAAGTCCCAATAAACCAGCACTACAGCCAGATTTGTGTGTGGTTATTTGTATGTGTATACCTTTTTAAGGCATTATGTTTCATACTGTGAGGAACGAATTCTGACAACCACAAATAATAGATAGGCATTACGTGTCCTGTGGATGAGCCATTCAGATAAGTTATAGCTTATATATAATGCCTTCTTGTTATCTATGAAAATAAATCGTATGCTTGTATGCATTCCATATGTTAAAGTGCACTTGTCAGGCAAATAACATGGATTTACTGTGAAGGATCATTCAACTCTTTCTCTCTAGAAGTCTTTGCCAGTATCTCCTTTCAGGTTAATGTTGATTTTTATAGAAGAACAGAGAGCCAGACAACTCAGAATGCAATACACAGGTAGGATGTGACCTGATGCTAACCAAACATAACATCATTAATATTATTACTGGCATCTATAAAGAGCCAACATATTCTGCAGCACTGTACAATCGGGGTGAGGTTGGGGGGACAGTACAATGTACACAGACCAAATACAAAAGGTAAAGAAGGCCCCTCTTGAATATAGAGTCAATAACCTGGTCGACCTTGTGCCTCCCTGCTTATTCACAAACAGAACTGTGCCTCAATTCCTTTTAGAAGATCAGAAGAGACTGTTTTTAATTCTCTGTAGTTGGAAGATTGATGCTTCATAACAGACTTGATCAAATTGATTTATGGCAGAGAGGCACTTGTAATGTCACTGTATCAGAGTGACTTGTCTGTTTGTGATAAGTCTGTGTGTCTTCTGATTTGCCAGTGTAATACTGAACCTTTTTTCATAAATATGTAATGATAATAATCATGTAAAACTGGAAATAATGTAATACAGTGGAACCTCGGAACTCAAACTTAAAGGACCACTCTAGGCACCCAGACCACTTCAGCTTAATGAAGTGGTCTGGGTGCCTGGTCCAGCTAGGGTTAACCCATTTTTTAATAAACATAGCAGTTTCAGAGAAACTGCTATGTTTATTAATGGGTTAAGCCTTCCCCCTAATCCTCTAGTGGCTGTCTCATTGACAGCCTCTAGAGGCGCTTGCGTGCTTCTCACTGTGATTTTCACAGTGAGAGCACGCCAGCGTCCATAGGAAAATTGAGAATGCTTTCCTATGTGACCGGCTGAATGCGCGCGCAGCTCTTGCCGCGGGTGCGCATTCAGCCGACGGGGCGGATCGGAGGAGGAGAGCTCTCCGCCCAGCGCTGGAAAAAGGTAAGTTTTTACCCCTTTCCCCCTTCCAGAGCCGGGCGGGAGGGGGACCCTGAAGGTGGGGGCACCCTCAAGGCACTATAGTGCCAGGAAAACAAGTGTTTTTCTGGCACTATAGTGGTCCTTTAATCCGTTCCAGAAGGCTGTTTGAGTTCCGATTTGTTCGAGAACCAAATCAACATTTCCCATAAGAATTAATGTAAATTTGATTAATTCGTTCCAGTGCCCAAAAATTACTGCATTTTAACACACATTTTATAGTATAATAATGCCTTACATGCATAAAAAACATATAGGAAAATAATAATAAACACAATGTACAGTAAATGAAATGAAAATGTAACTTCACTTTACCTGTAATGATGAGAGTTGATGGCGTAAGTGGAAAGGAGAAGATATATTATTGTTTGAATGGGGATACGTAACTGTTCTTCTGGCATTTAAAATGTGTCTAAAGTGTGTCTAATTGAACATGTTTGTGGCATGATTTGTTCGGGTACCGAAGATCGTTCACGTACCGAGACATTTTTTACTCTAAATTTTTGTTCGATTTCCGAATTGTTCGAGAACGGGATAGTTCGAGTTCCGAGGTTTCCACTGTATATGAAATATATTTAAATGTAGGGGACAATAAAGTTACCAAGGGAGTCTAGAGTTGACAACAAAACTCCTTTAAGGCATTATTTTCCCATGACTTGTAAAATAAAGTTTGTTTTTGGTTCGTCACTGCTGCAGCATATACAAAAAGTAATATGAAAGAGAAAGCAATGGAAAAGGTGTAAAAAAAACACTAGTGAAAAAAAAAAAACCATCAGAATTGATCATTAATTTCAGAAAATCTTGACAATAATGCATAGACTATTCTGCAGCACTTTAATATATGCCCCCATTCACTCTATCAATTTGAAGTTAATTTATCCTGATATTATTATTATTATCTATAAAGCACCAACAAATTCCACAGCACTGTACAATAGGAGGACTAACAGACATATTTATAACCAGACAAGTTTGATACACAGGAGCAGAAGGGTTGAGGGCCCTGTTCAATGAGCTGCTAGAGGGAGTGGGGTAAAGTGACACAAAATATAAGGGTAGGGTAGAAAGCTAGGTTCATAAAAAAGTAAAGTATTCGCTGAGGGCTTACTGGGTGATTTATATATATATATGGAATCTGTGTATATATATATATACATATATATATATATATATAAAAAAAACACAAGATCCAGCGCACTCACCTATCCACTAAACAGCAACTTCAATGTTGAAAGATTTTATTAGTTTTTTTAAAAACACCTAATCTAGGCAAATATAATGGGGGTTTAGTTACATTATATGATCATACATTGCATAGGCCTGCCACAACGTCAATGTACCCCATCTTTGGCAGGTCCTACACTAACAGCCTAATGTCTGCTCTTATTAGATTAACCCACTTACTTGGGGAAAAAAATTCCATCTGGGGCTCTCTGCAGTACAAGGCTAAATAGGGCCCTGGGATGAGGCACCTGTGACAGGGAGTGGTGCAAAACCAAGGAGTTGGCTTGCTTGAGGATATAGTGATAATGTCCTCACTATGGGTTATAGGTTGCTATAACAACCGGGTATACACTTGTTTCACTTGCATGTTACTTCCTGCTTCCAGCACCATGTGATTTTCGTTGCCGCGGTAACGTGTGACGTCATCACGGCATGTGGGGGCGTGGCTTCGTCCGCGCATGCGCACGGGATAATGGGGACGCCAGGAGCACCACTCCCACTATTCCCAGCACCAGGGGTAAGTCATTTTTCACTAATTTTACTGATGTTTACTTTATATAAATGCACTGTTTTTCATTACATTATCTATGCCTGATCCTGATGAAAGTCCCTGCTGGGACTGAAACCTTGATTTGATTTTTAATGGAGTATTAATAAACTGTAAGTTTCAACTTTTACAAGTCCGAGAATGCTGATCACTGCCATATATATATATATATACTGGGAGGGAAAACTGTTAACAGACTATATTGTATTACTTAAGAGAAGCTAACCAAGTATTTTGTGGGTGGCAGTGTCATGTTAAGAGTGATGGTATGAAGTGAGCCTTGGTGACTTTAACTATATTCATGATAAGCCATGGGGATTTAAAACTGCTTGTTACTGCGGGGTGGCTTTCCTCAGTAATGCAAAGGTGATGGTTACTTAATTGCAGCAATCATTAGCACATACGTAGGATCCGCATGTACCACAAACTCTCTGACGACATGCCTCCCACCAGTGACAAAAGTCACCCTTTGCTGACACCCACCACCCACTAGCAATACACAATAGCTGACAGACACAAAGCACGTAGCATTGTGCCCCGGTGATTATACAGTGTCTTTGTTCGCTGTGATAACAGCTCCTAATCAGTATATGATTAATACCCCTCTGGATTATACCTCTCTTAGTTATTTCTATTGTGGATTTCAAAAATTGCCTTTAGTCTTTTTTTTTTTTTTTTTATAATTCCCTTATAACTCCTCCTATTGTTTTATACACCTACCATAAAACTTGTAAGATTTAGCTTGATGGGTATAGGAAATCTAGTATTGTGTCTTTGCTGGCTGTCAGGACATAGAGTTTGCACACTGAGTTGACGCACAGCGTGGTGGCAAGTTAATTGTTAACATCATGTAGTCTGTTAGCTCTTTCTGTGTGTGAAAGAAAATGCATTATCACAGCAGATCTGCGCTTCTTATAATAACCACACATACAGCCTTAGAATTAAACAGCCTAGAACTTCCCCTAAAATCCATTTAGAGAATTACTCCAAGCACCATAACCACTTTAGTGATATTAAGTGGTTATGGTGCATGGAGACTGTATGTACAGCATTTCAATATGAAACATTGATCATACTGAGTTTAACACTCCACATCCAGTTGCACTATTGGAGCGTCATATCCAGTCTGGATTAAGAATCCATGGCTGACTAATGACAGTTATGTGCATACCGGATGTGTGACATCAGCAAGCACAGCATTATGGTGACAGGCATCCAATGGTGGCACACCACCCCCTCCATCCCAGCCAAGTCACCCAATAACACCTCCTATTACTCCATTTAACTTCTTTGTATCACACCTTCTGTTACTCCATATAACCTCCCCATACAACCCCTCCTATTACTCCACATAACCTTTTTCTATAAGTCGCCCTCTTAATCCATATAAACTCTCCCTATAACTCCTCCTATTACTCCATATAACCTCTCTCTATAACCCCTTCTATTACTCCATGTTACCTCTCCCTGTAACCCCTCCTATTAGTCCATATAACCTCTCACTATAACCTCTCCTATAACTCCATTTAATCAGGGCTATCTTTAACGGGGCAGTTGTCCCAGGCCCAGTTACATCTGAGGGGCCCAAAGCCCACAAAAAAATATTTTGGATGCCCCATGGGCCTGCGGTGCTGATGGTGTGGGTGCACCAAGGCCTGCACACTACGAGGAGCCCCCAGGTGGCCTATGAACTCAGGGCCTCTTGTTGGGCATTTGCCAGCAGGGACCTGGCCAGCGCTGTGGCCCTTTAACAGCGCGACCAGCCTCTTCTTGTCTGCAAGGTTGGGAGGAAGTGACAGCTGAAAGTCACTTTCTCCCTGATAGACTTGAACTGCGGCCCGCGTGGAGAGAGGAGTACAGGACTGAGAGAAGAGGGGCTGGGTTGGCAGTGCCAGACCCCAACTCCCTACCAACCCAAACAGCACACTGGAACTCATGGAAGTCACCCTCCAGCAAAAGGTAGAAAAGGGTGCCTATAAAAGTGTAAAGTTTGCACGTGTGTGTGTCAGTATGTCTGTATGTGTGTCAGTATGTCTGTCACAGTCTGTCTGTATGTCTTGCAGTGTGTCTGTTTCAGTATGCCTGTGTGTGTGTATGTGTCAGTATGTCTCTCTGAGTACACACAGTGAAATAAAGAGATTGGAAGGTGATATCCACTGCCAATTTCCTAAGTGGAATGCTAATTGAAATACACTAGCTCCTAGTATAGCACTGAAGTATAGAAATGGTCTAGTTCTGAAAAAAAATTCTAATGGTGTAGTATGTCTAGTAATTATAAGTGATAAAACATTTATAAGTAAACAAACTCACAAAGATAGAGCCAAATGAAAGGACTAGCTCAAATCACAATCACTTTGGTGTGTTAAGGTGACATCTTTCCCTCTTCTTTATTCTTCTTAATAAGCTTAAATAAAACACAAAGAAATAGCTCCTAGTGTAGTATGACAGGAACCAAATAATCATACATATCCGATGTGAGCCCCCTAGTCCCTCGACATGAAAATCTAAAGATGTCCAAAGACTCTGTGGAAAACACTTCCCTAGAAGAAACCCCCCAACAACCCACAGAAAGTCACCCCAGAACAAGAGTAGAGTCTGCTACAAACGATGAGTTAGGAGGGACTCTACATATTATTGACCTTACTGCCCAACTCTATGTGGTCTATGTGTGTCTAACTATTTTAAAGTGTACCATACGGAGTTAAATTATTAATTCAGAACACCTGTATGTGACTATGTCAGGAATCCGAGATCAGGAATCTGGACGTGCCGAGTTCCAAATTCCTGACCACGGTATCTCCTGATTACTCTTTGTCAGCTGTTTGTATCGACTTATTGGCTTGTTATACTGACTACTCTGATTTCTGGATCCTTTTACCGCGGTCTGTCCCTTTTTATATTATGCTCAGCCATTATAAAGTGGCTAGACCAAACAACTCAAAATATGCCATTTGGAATACTCTGGATTGCCTACTACTGAAAATGGTATGCCATTATGGTGGAAATGTTATTACTGCCAGGCTGTCTCAAAGGTGACATATGCCCAAAACAATTTCCAGGTATGTAAACTGAAAGCGGCACTGTCATGCCGAATCCTGTTGTTGTTTTTTTAACCCCCCTCCGGCCTCCACTACATCTAACTGACACCCTAGTCACCCCCAAATACCCCTAAGCCCCCATATTACCTATTTTTTAATCTTTTTTTTCTGCCCGATCTTTATTTAGGGCGCCGCCATCTTTGTGTGGGTAGATGAAGTCCCTGTGGGACACGTCATCAGCCCACACTAGATAGACTGTGAGATTCCCGCACATGCCCAGTGAAACACCTGGACATGCGAACGGGAATTTCATCTATTCATTCATTCATCAGACAGACGAATGAGTGAATAGAAATATCAGCCGAACAAACAAACACCGAATATCAGTGTTCGTTTGTTCGCTCAGTTTATTACAAGGAGGGAGCTACCGGCTCGCAGCTCCCTCCTTGTAATATGTAAAGATAGAAGCGGCAGGGAGCACCAGGTCCCTCCTCACTCTATTGGAGGTCAATATGACCCCCATAATAGCATAAGGGAGATTAAAATCTCCCACATGCCCCTACTCGCTATACCGCAAGTAGGGGCATGTCCACTAAAAAAAAAAAAAAACTATTGGCCCCCACCCCTAAACGATGGGTGGGGGCCCTAAAGTAAAATAAGGGGGAGACCTATTGTCGTCGTCCCCGCCTCCACC